GTGGCAATTCCATGGCAACAAAATCCTGATACCATGCTGTCATATATTTTTATATGATAACCTGAGATAAATATATTTATTCCACACACACTTTTAATCTTGGAGTGAGAGCTGTCAGGTTTAGATCGAGGAGGAGATTTAAGTAGGAATAGCAGGAAGGAGCAAGAAATCCTATACTATTCTTTAAAAATTAAAATACGACAACAAAACCAACTTGGACCATATTATGCTCTGATACACACCTATGAACAAAAGAGAAATCATATATACTAGTCTTAATATGCTAATTAGTTGTCTGCAGTTGCCTAAACTAATATCACACTCATGGAGATATTAAAAATCAAAATTAAAGCCTCATTAAATACATACAGTTCTTTGAATATCACAAATAAAGATAAATTAATAAAGCTGGAGAAGGCTGACTAGTAAGGAGAGAGAGTATTTATAGAGATACTGATCTTTGGAAATATCAACAGTGATATTAAATTTCTTGAATTTCACAACTGTTTAAGAAGGCTTTGCTAAAATAATGGTGTAATGTTTGCATGAGTTTGGCGGTGTTCTGTCAACTTGTTTTCCAAATACTAATATTGGGTTTTATGTTTGTAAAGTACAAACTCTGCATTATGCCAATCAAAAACACAAGATCCTGTAATTAAGAAATATTAGGGCACTTGCAAAACAACAAAGTTTAGGGAATTAATCATGAACTTAATTACAATAATTAGTTTCAAGAAATTTTTCAGAAAAATAGATTTTTGGAGACTAGATTGTGTACATTGTGTACATTTCTGTATTTTCATATTGTGATTTCTTTTATGTGTTCTGTGCTCTTTTTATGGTTAATGATATATGGTTAATGATATATCTAGTTTCTCATTTCTGTGTGCCATGGGAACATAGTTGATTTTAAGTTAAAAATATCTGCTTTTTCTCTCAGTAAAGAACTAATTGATCTGCTTAACTAGGGCCCAGTCCTCTCATTGAAGTTAGTCAGAACTCCCATAAAAGTCAATGGAAGCAGGATCAGACCCCTGAAGAGCAGTGTCCTCTACAGGAAGTGGGTCTTACTCTCATAAACTGGGTAATGTAGGAAGCTCTGCGCTGTCAAACATGTCAGAAATGTTTTAATCTAAATAAAGTGATTCTATTGTTTTTTTTTCTCTTTGTAATATTTAGAAATTTTAAAACCTTTTTTTTTTCTTAAATCCTATATACCCTGGCATTTGGTTTACAGGTAAAATACTTAATGCTCATGAGGTTTAATATGATACCAGCCAAACAGGCATATTAACCATATCAATTAAAATATTAATTGGCTGTAATATAATAGGTACAGTTAACCTGTCTTTACCCTTTTATCAGTAGGTAAGACAACAGTTCAACTATACTTCCCATAGTAAATATAGGCAGCATCCGCATGCACTGAATCTTAACCACTCCCACTTTATTTTATTTTCCACGTATCTGTTTTACGTGGAGAGTTCGAGGGTGGCAAGGACACAAGTGAAGATCTACAGTTTTGTTGTACCGTAACTGCATTCCCATATACCTTCCCAATTTAGCGTTTAAGTATATCATTAACTTTAAATGGTTTGGCTTTCAACCGATATTTTTTGTTTGTTTATAAAGTTTTCTTCTTCAGGCATATTTAAACTTAACTCCAAATTTAATAAAATTTTTGTCCGGGAATTGTGATATTTATCAGTTTGCTTTTCCTCTTGAACGTTGGGGTAAACTGTATTTGCTTACATTTATTCATTTGGTAAATCTTCAGTGTGATGAAACAACTTCTTCTATTCGTCACTTATCAAACATGCATTTTATATACAGATGCAAGGTGAAACAAAAAAGATGAAGTTTTTGCTGCTTTTGAAAAAGACATTTCTACAACTTAAGCCAAAGCATACATCAATATTCATATGCAGAGCTTATATGGCAGTACTTCAATCCGATTTAATTTTGAAAACATGTTCCCTATCTAATACTCTGCTTTGTACAGCAGTCCTAACAGAGCTTTAAGGTTTATATCTCTGAAGTTGTAAAGGACTATAATAAAATACGGTAGTCTACTGATTTTTATAATGCATACAGTAAACAGCTGGTATGTACATGGCCTCTAGTAACCAAGCTGATTACATGACACAGATTAGAGGTCTTAGAAGTTCTATAAAAGGCTAGAGGAGAGAATTAAAGAAGACTGGTATGAATTTATGTAATACAGCAAATCTAGAGGTAATTGACTTTACAGGAACTCAGTAACACTTTCAGCAATGAATGACTTACTTGGGAAGAGGAAAAAGGAGTCCAGTAATAGTTCTGTGAGAAACCATTAAGTAGGCTGAAATGCCTGCTGTTTACCTTTCTGCTTTGTTTAAGGTGTTACTGACATTGGCAACAATTTTTATATTTTTCTTTTGCATCAGTTAAGATCTGAATTTTTCACAGGAGCAGAATGTAATTTTGTTGTCGCTGTACAACAACTTTTAAAAAAATGTTTTGTATGGTTAGGGAACTGGAAATGTTTGGATCAGTTTAAATCTAGCCCATTATCAATGCCCAAAAATGATGATCCAGTTGCTGTTCAGGTGCCTAAATGACATGGCTTTGGTTCAATTCCCAGTTGAAGAGCATCCATGTTCCAAAAATCATCATCCCAGTTTAAACTAATTGGCATTCAAAGATGAAAAACTTTGGAAGGCACAGAAACGGAAGTCATCTCTCAAGCACAGAGTTGATCCTCTCTGTAAGACTAAGGCATCAAGACAGTGAGCAGTGTAAGTGAGCTTGCACTGGTGATTCCCGTACTAGACTAGACCCGTGCTATAGAGAAAGAAAATTGTCGCTCTCCAGAGTGTCCAGGTAATTAATTTTCACCAGCACTAAATTCAGTAAATAAAGTAAGTAAATAAAGGTAGAAGAAAGGGAGTAGTTGGGGCAGAAATCATGCAGTTTGAACATAATATTACTCCTCTCTCTCACTCAGATGTAGGTGCTTTGCCTTGTTGTTTTAGCTTCCTGCTGCTGCTACTCCCCCAAATATATGTTACTGCCTGCTAGAATAGAATGATTAGTAACTCTGTTTTAGTAGAATACTAGAAAATATAGGTGAAACGTGTCAATCACAGTATTTGCTTACTTACTACTATGTGGCTGGAAAGTGAAACTGTGACACTTCAGCAGATAGGAAAACCCAAGTCTAACAGCAGAGAACTAGATGTTTGTTCCTCACATATCTCTCTCTTAGTCATTGTGTCTTTTTTTTTTCAGGAACATACCGTCTGACCAGGCAGAATTTGAAAGGAAAGACTGAAATGTTACTTTAAGTTAAGATTTAATAACTATCCGCCATTAACTTTTTTTAACTAAAAATTATTTTGCCCTAACCCGTGGGATTGATTTTGCAAGACTCTTTTCAACAACTAAAACTTGAGGTTAGGTGATAGCATCTTTATGCAGAACTATGCTGGAACTTGAGAACTTCTGATGGCTCTTGGGCTAATTTCAGATGGTTGTATTGTGCTGTATCATCTTCTGTTGCTCTGAGTTTAGTTGCATTATTTGAGCCTCTTCTGTTTATTACTTTGGCCTCCCCTTTTGTTTTTAATAAACTGCATCAGTTTCAATGTGCTTTCTATCCACTTTGTTTAATGGTTTAACTGGATTTGTGTATTGTCTCAGATTACTTTTTTTATTTCATCTACTTATGAGCTCTTCTCTGCTGCATCTTGAGGTGGTGCATCGGAAAGAGGAGATGTAAATGTTGGACAAATTTATTTGACCCTTTGATTCTGAGTCCCAACTTTTACTTTTGAAACCTGTAGTTTGTACATTTTCTGAAATATAACTTCAGTTCCATATGTGCTTAGCTTCTTTTGTTTAAGACTGCTTCAGAATTGTGACAGTTGCAGAGCTAGGGTTGCAACTCTGTTCCCTTTCTGGTCTCTAAGTACTACCACTCTGGTATAATGCCTCATTCCTTTGCTTATCTTGGGGTGGAATTTCATAATTCTCCCATTCTTAGACTGGGACCTGGGCTATGGTACCATTCTTACCCTGAATGTCCAACTGAGCTCTGGTACTTAACTGCTGTTCTCTGTATCCAGTGATATACAGTGATCAGACAGCCTTCTTAAAATACAAGTAGATATTTTGTTCCTACTGCTAAAATAAAACAGAGAAAAAAGGATTTTTAAACAACGGTCTACATGCATGCCTGATTTACTGAGCCCCACCATTGTTGGTTGACCTACACAAACCTAGATTCTCCAGACACCACAGCTGATGCCTGTGTTTCAGTCAGGTTCCCCTGAACAACCACTCTCTCTTGAGATGGTCCCTTTTAATCTTGCCAGAGTTCATTTGTTCCCTGGGCTTTAACCTTTCCTGGTCCAAATGAGTTTTTTGCAGAATAGCTGAAGATATAAGTAAAATCATCAAAGGAATAGTTCTGCCATTGCCAGTTACCACCACTTAAAGGTTTGCTCAGAGGTGACTATCTTGAGCCGTTCTTTTCCTTCCTGCCTGTTTCTTCCAGATAGGCCCCTGCTGAGCTTAACCAAGATATTCATACAAGAAACATCACAATAATTAGACCAGGGATTGGCAACCCTTGTCAGATGGCCCATCAGGGGAATCTGGTGGTGGGGCGTGAGACATTTTGTTTACATTGACTGTCCGCAGGCATGCCCCCTCCCCCCAAAAACAGTTGTCTCAGAAGTGTGGGATTTTAGCGGGGCAAAACAAAGAAATCGCTCTACAACTTCACCATTGCCAGTCACATACCTCAAAATCATATCTGGTGTTGAATTGACTATTATGGAATAGTACTTGGCATCCTTTACTTCATCAGTGATTTGGTTTCTGAGCTGCTGTGCTATTATAGTGATGTATTCATCATAGGTTTGGTGCATTAAAAAGTTGGTCATTTCTGAGCCACAATAGTAATGATTTTTCAAATGTTCTTTGAGAAAATCGTCAAGATGGTTAAAAAAAATTACCTTTTTGATGTGACAAACATGACTCATCATGTTCTCTTAGAGGTAGTCCCAAAGAAGACAGCAGTTTGACTGTGGCAACAACACGTCTCAGCACTTTCCTCCAATAAGGACATACCTTTTCAAACTGAGCCTGTAATACAGAATCAATTCTTCCAGATAATTTACACCTTTGAGCGAGCTTACACATAGCATTAACGTGAGCTTTGGAAGTTTCATGATCAGCAATATGTCTTGCAACGTTTCTCCAGTTAGAATGCCCGTTGACAAATGTTTGTTTTCTTTTACTATGATCAGGGAATAATTTGCAAACATAACAGTAGACTGCCTTAGTGGTTTCTGAAAAAATTAACCAAATTGTCATTTCTGTAATTCCATTTTTTTCATCCTCAGAAAATGAAGACTCATGAAGACCTCTTAATTGCTTTTGTCCTGCAACCTCATACTCTTTTTCTCAAATTTTCCATATTACTTACTTTTTTCAGTTTATTTACTAAGAAATATTCTATCATAGCCAATGAAACAGATTTTGGCCATAATGCAATGTCTTCAGGCTAGGTTTCTTCCTTTCCTTTGACAAAATCACCAATATTTTGTAGTTCCATTGTCACTTCAGAGTCCACTTGTTCAACTTCTGCAGTTGTTGTGGTATCCCCACAACTCGGCAAGTGATCAGATAATTCAGATGTTTCCTCGCCCATACTTTTTGATGAATGTTCACTATTCAATACTTCAAGCTTTTTAAAATAAGATGACAAACTGTCTTTTTGCTTAGCTTTGTCTTCTTGCCTCGCCTTCATTTCCCCTCCCCCATTTTTGACTGCCAGACTCATGTTGCTTTATTATTGCTAAAAACTGACCTTGATTTTAGGCAGGAGCATGGCCACAGGTGGGCCGTGGACCACCTAATTAGGTTTAATGCAGTTAATCCCACATTTTTAATTGGTCCATGTCTAAGTAGTTAGGTCAATGCAGAGTCAGTGTAAACACTGTGTTGCTCACATTAACTGTTGCTGGCTTTCAGAAGCCATTCACCAGTTACCCTCTTCGATAGTTCAATGGTGCAAGCGTTCTTGGTAAGGATGCACACCGCCAACACAAGGAGTGTAGACGTGCACTGTTACCCCAAAATTTGGACCGAAGGCACCTCAGTACTGGTTTGTCTATGACCATAAACCAATTGTCAGTTTGTCTCACCCAAATGGTTAATGAGGGGTGGCTTGTCCTAGAGGAATTGCTGGGGTTTTACCTTGGTGTTTGTCTCTGACTGTGGAGGACTCCCCAGAGCAGACTATTTCTCCTAATCTATGAGAGGACACGGATACAGCCTTCCGCTCGAAGGATTGATATTCAAGCAGTAATTTCATTTAAAAGAAATAATCAATTACAATACACTTAAAGCAAGAAAGAAGAATACACTACAATACATAAGATATAGTGAAACACAATTGCTTTACATTTAGAAGTTATACACTAAAGCAGTGCAATAGAATAAAATGCACAGAATACACAGAGTATATAGCAGTTACAGTGTAGCACTTAAGGTACATAAAGACCTCTCATACACATGCATAGAGCCCCCAATGCAATGTTGTCACACAGTGCTACAATTATCACAAGGAGACAAGCAGAGCTTCTATACATACATACAGGAAGGGATTATGATGTTATTTAAAGAGACGTTACTATTTAACATTAACATTCTGTGAGCCGCGGCCAAGCTGTCACAGAATGGGTGCGGTGGATGTCACTCAGACGCAGACATCTGACTGTATTTAAAGGCACACCCAGACACGCTTTTAAAACAGATAGAAAATCAGACTTACACTCTTCCTTCTCAAAAATTCCTCCAATTCATCTTTCGGGGTCCTTTTGATCTGTCTTATTGGGCTTCATATTGCCTGTGCTTCTGCTTCTCCTGCCGCTTTTGCTACTGCGGCTTCTTCAGTTGCTGCTGTTTCTTCTGCTGCTGTGGCTTCTTCAGCTCCCACCACTCTCTTCAGCTCCTGATCTCTTCACCGCAGCTCAAACACCCACACACAAGCCTGCTGGCTGTCAGCCTTTATATAGGATTACCAGCCCTCCTCTCATTGGTTGCTTTCTCAAGTCCAGCTCATTAGCATAGATCCTCCCCAATGGAGCGACATTTGCTTAGCCAATCAGCTTTACCTATTATTCAAGCTGCTCCTCCTCCTAACTCAGTCGCGTAGATCCTCTGCTCGCCTGACTTACTAGCATAGATCCTCCTTTCTCCGGAGCCCTCCCTTTTAGGTGTTCTGACGTATGCTGAGTCATTCCCCATTAAACTCTATCTAACCGTTATCCCTTGTCTGCTCTGCATCCTCCATTTTAAGATCTATAATAGAGAATCATTGCGGCTGCCATTTTGGGTTTTTCGCTATAAATTGTCACTATTTACCACTTATCTCAAGTCTTAATTCTAAAACAAACTACAATTCTATGCAAGTTAAAGCATCATAATACTGTTACCACCTTTGTAATACTTACTGGGCTTTTTGCGATGTTTTTTCTCCCTCTGCAGCTGCCTGGTGCTGCTTTTCTTACACAGGATCAGAGGAACTTAAAAACCCCTCTTGTGTCAGCGGAAGCAATGTAATTATTGTGGCAGCTGTATGCCAACATAAGTTAGGTCAACTTACTTTTGTAGTGCAGACTTGGCCTTAATGTAGTAAACGTGTAAGGCATTTGACTGTTGCATCTATCTACGCTTGGAGTGTGGGCGTTCCAGTAGGTTTACAAATGAGCTAACTGTGAGTTGTTTGCTTTTTGTTTACTATAATGGTATAATTTCTTCTACCATTAAAGTGAGAAAGCACTTATAAAAAATTAAAACTTGAATATCTAACTTACTGCATTTGTCATGCATGATCAACCATCTTCAATTAATCTCTTTATGCATTGTTTTACATTTTAAAGCTACTGATAATTAAAGAAAACAAACTGCTAAACAGAAGGAAGACAAAGTTTGTCAGCTGCAAAAGCTAAAAATAGATATGAGTGATCACATTTATGATTAGTTATGATGCAAGGAAGAAATATTACTGAAGATAAGAATATAGTGCAGAATTTTGACCACTAAATTGTGAATTTTGACTTTAGACAAAAAAAGCATAATCAAAGGTGTGCACCCTATTATATTCAGCTTTAACACTGGGCACATAGTTGTGTGTTAAATAGGCAAGACAGCGTATTTTAAAAATATATAAATAGCATGCATTTAATAGCGTTTATCAATAGTTTAATAAATCTAGTTAGATTTCACTTTCATCTTTTTATGATATGTTCATATTTATGCTGCAGGGATTGTGAAAAATCTATTTTAACTTTTAAAATCATAATAGAAATAGGATGTTAATAGTTTGATTACAAGGACAATAAGTTAAAGCTTACATTACATTACATGTCTCTTGAAATTCAACCTTATTTATCGTCTGTGACAGAAAGAGATCAAATCAGACTTGTATAAAAATACTTTTTATTAATTCATAAATTAATTTTTTAAAGAAATTCTTCAATTCTATTTTATACATTTTATTAAAATAAGGAATACTTTTGCTATTACTGTGTATTTTAGATCGCTATGATATGCAAAAACTATATTAAAAATATTAAGGTTACAAAGTCAAGCACTCAAAAGATAGAAAATGTCAGAATGAAGCTTGCCTCCACAGTCTTAATTTGCTCCCCTTGAGCATATGGATTATGATGTAGTCTTTAAGTCAGTGCACAGAATGGACAGTGCTCGCTTAGTGAGTAACTACTCAATGTTTTGTTCTCATTATTCAATTTGTGGCCCCATAACCCCTTGTTTACAACATACTACTCAAATCCTACTCTGAAGACAGAGCTGTTAATTTCTTTGTAGAGTTTTCTGTGGTGCTCATCGCTACGATGTGAGTGCTTCACTAATTTTCATGCATTTAATTTTACACCGTCCTGGTGAGATGCATGGATATTACAGTAGAACTACCAGAGTTACGAACTGACCGGTGAACTACACATCTAATTTGGAAGCAGAAATACACAATCAGGCAGCTGCAGAGACCAAAAAAAAAAAGAAGCCAATACAGTATACTACTGTGTAAACTACTAAAAAAATAAAGAGAAAGCAGCATTTTTCTTCTGCATAGTAAATTTTCAAAGATATATTAAGTCAGTGTTCATTGGTAAACTTTTGAAAGCACAACCATAATGTTTTGTTCAGTTAAAAACATTTCAGAGATACAAACAACCTCCATTCCCAAGGTGTTCGTAACTCTGAGGCTCTACAGTATCCCCAATTTACAGATGGTGAACTGAGGCACAGAGAGATTAAGGTTTTTTTTTAAAGAAGTATCTGCTAATTTAAATATCTGACATGCTTAGGACCAGATTGTTCAGTTTCAGAATTATATAGCACTTAATACATTAAAGCAAAGCTCCGTTTGTGACTTCAGTTGCAGCCCCGAGTGCTCAGTCCTTCTGCAAATCAGACCCCAGCCAACCTTAATTCTGTAATTTGTGCATGTGTGAACTGGAATTTTTTTCAAAGGTTTCTAACTTGGCAAAATTTGAGCACATTTTCACAGGAATAGCAAAAGGTACATGCCTGAAAAAGGATCACCTCTGGCCAAATTTCAGACAGTTAGAATTTTTTTAACATTGAGAGTGAAGCTGATAAGTTTTTTCAAGTAGCTTAACCATTTTGGCTGAAATTTGCCACGAGCAAACACCTGGCATAGAAAATTTCAACCCAAATAATTAAAGATTAGGAAAGATTAGAAAGCACCTAACATGTTCTTTGTTCAGTGAATTAAAAATGTATATTTGGAATTGTTTTTATGGACTGAATTTATGAAAATTTCAATACTGTATAATGTAATTGGTGTGTATGTATAACTGTCCCACTCCCTTTAGTTATTTATAGGTGGGTGAAGTGTTGTTAATGTCCTATTTTCTTTTGGAAAGACATTAACTTTCAAGTCAACTCCCTCCCCCCCTTTCTTCTTACTTTTGGTGTCTCTTTTTTCTATAAGGTATTTGTGTGTATTGTGTTTGTTCACTTGTAGTAATGAAGGATATATCTAGAGTGTGTAGTATGTGCAGTGGAGAGGTATTGAGGGCAACAATTGATATAATTACAAGCATTATAATTATTTCTGGTCTCATAGTGAACAAGATGCTGTACAAACACAAAAGACGACGTAGTGCCTGTCTCAAAGAGTTAGGTTATTTTTCATCTTTATGAATGGCTTAAAAAATAAAAATGCATGCTTGCTAGCAGCCCAGTTTTCATATGAGAAAATGGACTATAAAAAGCATACAGTAGCCCTACTAGTGTTAGTATTATTTGGAGTTAGAGGCTTTGCAAACAGCAACTGTTAAAATTAAACGTGTTTTAAAACTGCAAGACTAGGAAACTTGTACTCAGGTATTTTCAGAGAACTGGCTGAGGAGCAATCGGAGCCCTTGGTTTTGATATTTTAACAAATTTTGGAACACAGGAATTTCCGGGGGACGGAAAGAGAAAAATACCCCAAACCTAATGTTCCAGTATTTAAAAAGGGACAATCTAGGTGACATTGACATCTGTCCCAGACAAAATCATGGAAAGGCTGATATGGGATGCAAATGTTTAGAATTAAAGAACAGTCTGAAAATTAATGCCAATCAATATGATTTTATTTAAAATTCGTCTTGTCAAACTTGGTATTATGTTTTGATGAGATAGGTTTGGTTGATAAAGACATAATTTACTTAGACTTCTGCAAGGTAGGAGTACTGCATGACTTTCTGATTGATTCTGTATAATGTTTTTTATTTAATGTAGCAATTCTGTTCAGAAACATGGGCCACCATAAATATCTCTTCCAGTGTTGCAGTCTTTGCACTGGCTCACTATTGAATAAAGGGTCCAATTCAAAGTCTGTCTTGATACTCAAATTCTCACCGGGACTGGCCTCTCTCTCTCAGAGACGATAGTTCTTACAACAACTGTGTTCTATTGGAATCATGGATTGCTAAACTATTCTGGATGGACTCATGAGTGTGGGAGATGGAACTTTCACAAGAGTTGGACCTAGTCTATGGAACTTGATCGAGAAGATACTAAAAACACAGACTTCATTGTGTTTTGAATATAATGTAGAACTCATTTTTTCAGTTATATATGTTCTCACTTTCTCTTCCTCTCAGCCAATCAAACAATTTTTCTTTTACAGTTTGGGAAGTTGCTTAGCTAGTATAGTATTGAGGGCCATGTGAGTACCTTAGGAAGAAACAGTGAGTTAGTCTCTTCTCCACTTAACTCTTCATATTGGGTTAAAAAGTCAAGAGTGGTGTAACGCAGGCCTAAAAAGCCTGATTCCAGTTGGAGGAGAATTTTGCCAGCATAGGAACTGTGAAAGAGAACCATAAGGCTGTGTTCAGAGCATCTCTTTGAAAGCTGTGGTATAAGGCGTAGAGTTGGGCATGATGGGTGTGTTGGGAGCAGAGCTGGGGGTTGGGCTGAGGGCAGGAAGTGTGGGGCCACAAGTGTGGGGGTGTGCAGCACTGTGGAGATTGAAGACAGTGTTATGGCCCATAGAGCAGCTCTGGGAGCCTTCCATAATTTATCTGGGTCCCCAAGGCTGTCTTTTATTCTGTGAGTTTTTCCAGCCACCATGAGCATCCCAAGATTAGGCATGTGGAAAGCTGTCTCAGTCATTTTTGTCCCCTGTGCTCCCTGGCCTGTGAGTTGTGTGCTGTGCCTCTTAGCCTGTATCTTCCCTGACAGAAAGCATGTTTTGTACGACAGGATAACTATTGTGTGTAAAAACATCCTGAAGACAAGGCACTTGAGTTTTACTACAAGGCTAGCTGAGGTCAGCAGGTGTGTGTGGGGAAAAGGGGTATAGTGCTGACCTGTCCTACCTACTCTTGGTAAACCCTACATGTGCCTTGTCTCCATTTAGGATTTTACAGAGAAGTACTATTGCAAGTTTATCTCACTGATAAAAAAAAAAAAGAAAACAAAATACCCTTTG